TTTTCATTGTCGTTATTGCTTAATAATTGTGTAATTTCAGTTTGTATTTCCCCTTTTACCCAAGAGTTGTTTAGTGGAAAGTTTTAAAATTTCTAGATGAAATGGCCTTTCTGTTTTTTGGTTTTGTTAGTGAAGTTCAGTTTCATTGCATTGTGTTGTTGTATTTCTGCTTTATGGTAGTTACTGTTTTCTTTATGACCTAATATATATGATCAGCTTTTATGAAAATGCTCTGGGCACTTGAGAAAAATGTGTATTCTCTATTGTCAGGCTGTGGAGTTCAGGATATGCTCATAAGATCTAGCCTATTGTCTATGTTGTTGAGATTTTCTCTCATTTATTTTTTGGCTGTTGATCTTCACTTGATCTGTCTTGTATTGAATGAAGTGTATTAAAGTCTCCTATTAATGTATTTCTGTCTATGTTTCCTTGCATCCTCTTTGGTTTTTCTTCATAAAGATGGTTGCTGTGTTGTTTGGTACATAAATATTCATACTGTTATATCTTCATTATGGATTGTTGATTTCCTTTAATAGGTAACAAACACTTATTGTTATGACTGTTACAGGTTTGGTATCAACTCTTATGTTATTTTATAATATAAATTTTGTTTCTGTACTGTTTCTCACTATATATATATATATTTTTTAATATGTATATTTTTGGTTCTTTTGTTGACAACAGGTCTTTGAGGGATATTTAGGAAGGTTTGTATTCTTGTTCTAGAGGTCATCCTTTTTCCACATCTCTGTACATGGCACCTCCAACTTTCTAGTTTGCTGGGCCTCATACCTAAGAGCCATTCTTTCTTTCCCATCCCATATGTAACCCAGTAGGAAATCCTGTTGACTACCCTTAAGATTCCTATTTGGACTATTTATCACTACTTCTACTGCAGCCACGTTGGTCCTTGGCATCGTCATTTCTTGCCTGGATTATCACAGTAGCTTTCTTAACTGACCTATGTGCTATCCTTACATGGTAGCTTAAAAGATGATTTAAAATTGCAAGCTAGATCATGTTACTCCTCTGCTTAAAACCCTCCAGTCCTTTCCCATTTCATAAGGGCTGAAGTTTTTATCATGTCCTCTGAGGCTCTACATCATCTGGCTTTTCATTACCTCACGGGCTTCATCTCCTACCCTCTGTCCCTTGCTCCTGCTCCAACCACACTGGCCTCTTGCATACTTGGACATGTCCTTCCCACGCCCTGATCTTACTCCTCCCCTTCTGTGCTGTGCTCATCTTCTATGTATCTGCATGTTGCTGCCTCCCTCTTACCAGGTCTGATCACGTCACCTTATCACTGAAGCTTTCCCCAACCACCTCACTACTCTCTGCACCCCACCCCCGAAAATGCTTTATTCCTCTTTGTAGCGTTTATCAGCATCTAACATTTTATTTTTTCTTTTATTTTCTATCTCCTCCATTATAAATAAAGCTTCCTGAGGACAGGGATATTACTTTGTTAACTGCTTTGTCCTCATTGCGTAGATACCTTGCCTGTGAAAGATGCTCAGTAGGTGTTTGTTAAATGAATGGATTTAGTAAGCGTTCTCTTATTATCCCAGTTTCTTCTTTTTTTCCCACAGTTTTCATGAGATATAATTCACATACCATACAATTCATCCATTTATAGTATGCAGTTCAGTGGTTTTTAGTATATTCACACAACACAACAATTACTACAATTTTAGGACACTTTTCATCACCTCGAAAAGAAACCCTGTACCAATTTGCTGTCCCCCCTGCTCTGATCTACTCTCTGTCTCTATGCATTTGCTTATTCTGACATTTCACATCAGTGGAATCATACAACTTGTGGCCTCTTGTGTCTGGCTTCTTTCATTTAGCATAATTTTGTTGAGATTCATCCAAATTACATTATTTATCAGTACTTCTTTCCTTTTAATGGCTGAATAATAGTCTATTGTGGACTCTCAGTTTCTCTTCTTTTTTTTTCTTCCCCTGGCCCTCTCAGTTTTTTCTTAAAATGAACCTAAGAACTGTCATTTCTATTTTGCAGATGAGGACTCTGAGTTCTTTGGAAAGAACCTGCCCAGGTCACAGCTACTGAGTGGGAAAGCTCAGATGTACGACTGGGTCTGTGTGATCAGAGCCCTAACCGTAGTGCTGTAAAGCTCTCTGTGTCCTTAATGCGTGACTTATGACAACTTTTCACCCTTGTGTTCTCTTTCTCCATCACTGTTGTAAAATACTCAAATTGGACTAATATTTGTTGAGAAGTCTCTTAAAAGTTCATTTAATTGCCAGTACCAGGACTTCACATTTAATATTGACTTAAGCTCCTGTGAGTATTGAATTAATCTATAAAGGTCCAGAACACTTTGACTTTAGAATTACTGTCTTACCACAAATCTTGGTGACATTGGAATTTATGAAGTAAATCTTACTGAAAGTTAGAGAAGAATCCTTTGAAGCAGGTGCATCATTATTTGTGTATTTTTAAAAAGTGTTTATTTTGAAATAATTTCAAATTTGCACAAATGTTGCAAGAATAGTACAAAAAAATTCTGTTTACTTTTCACCCAGATTTACCAGTTAACACTGTCATGTTTGTCTCCTCTCTCTCTCTTTTGCTACATATGTAGTATATATAATTTTATCCTGAACCATTATTTTGAGAGTAAGTTGCAGACATGATATGGTTACTCCAAAATATCTCAGTGTTATTTCCTAAAAACAAGGACACTCACACATATAATCACAGCACACCCATCAAAATCAGGAAATGTGCATTTATTACAATACTCTCATCAAATTCCTATCCCTCTGTCAGCTTGTTTCTGTAACCCTTCATAGCAAAAGACAAAACACAACAACAAAAACCCTTCTTTTCCCTCTGCCTGCTTCCCCTCTGGGCCGTGACACAGTCTAGAATCATGCATTGTATTACTGTGTCTTGTTACGGACCTGTAACCTGGATAGTTTTCTAAGTCCCTCCACATCTTTCACTGCACCCTTCTTCCATACTTTTGCTATTTTTGAAGAGCATGTGTCAGTTGTGTAGAATGTCACTCATTTTGGGTTTGCCTGATGTCCCTCAGAATAGAATAATGCATTTATCACAGAAATGTCACAGAAATGACACTGCCTTCTTCTTGGTGCATTTCTGGAGGCATTTGATGCCAGTTTAACCCGTAACTGGTGATGTTAGCTTTATCAATTGGTTAAGATAGTATCCCATCAAATTCTCCATTGTGAAGTCCATTAGTATTTTTACTTGCTAATTAACAAGTAATTAATTATTTTGTGGGAAAGAACTTTTAGTTGCTACAAATATATTCTCCCTCCTGAATTGTTCACCCACTGGCTTCAGCTTCCCTTGCAGATTCTTGCCAGAATTATTAATATAACGGTTGCCAAATGGTGATTTTCTAATTCTATTATTCCTTCTATATTTTTTTTCTGTGGTTCTTTGTTATTCTACTACGAAGAACTTTCCCTTTTACCCATGTATTTTTTTTTATTGTGGTTAAATATACATAAGATGTATCATTTTAACCACTTTGAAGTGCACAGTTCTGTGGCGTTAGGTACATTCACTTTGTTGTGCAACCATTACCACCATCCATCTCCAGAACATTTTCATATACCCATTCGAAATTGTGTACTCATTAAATAACAGTAACTTTCCATTTCCTCCTCCCACAGCCCCTGGCCATCACCACTCTACTTCCCGTCTCTCTGAATTTGACAACTCCAGGTACCTCAGAGAAGTAGAATCATACAGTATTTGTCCTTTTGTGACTGGTGTATTTCACTTAGCATAATGTCTTCAAGATTCGTCTGTGGTATAACTTGTGACAGAGTTTCCTTCCTTTTTAAGGCTGAATAATACTCCATTGATGTATATAATCATCTTTTGTTTATCCAGTCATCCGTCAATGGATACTTGAGTTGCTTATACCTTTTAATGCTGCTATGAACACAGGTATACAAATAACTGTTTGAGTCCCTGCTTTCAGTCCTTTTGGTTGTATATCCAGAAATGGAATTTCTGGATCATATGGTAGTTCTATGCTTAATTTTTTGAGGATCCTTAATTAGTTTTAAAAAATTAATATCTCTATGGACTCCCTGTTTCCTATTTTATTCAGTGGGCTATAATGTTAACATCACTGTTTATTTTGAGGTACAGATTGTCTCTAATGTGGCCAGTTGGAGGCCCCTCAGGCTGGCTCCTGTGTCCTTTTGAAATGTTTTCACTGGCGCTCTTCATATAGTGGCACAATAAGATATTCCAAGCTCATCTTACTTTCACGCCCAGCCATGGAATCAGCTTTGTCTCTCCAAGGAGCCCAGTTTCTTTTTTGGAGAGTGGTATTTAGAAACCAAGATAAGGGTGCTGGGTATGCTGATAGCTGCTGGGGTGTCATTGCTTCCAGGCCCTTTCAGGTGAGAGAGCTAGGAAAAAATATGTATGTATGTGTGTGTGTGTGTGTGTATACATTTACACACGCACATACACAGAAACACACACCTGTATTTATGTATCTACCTTAATATATGTATATTAAAACTAAAGTTTGCTTTGATACCTCTAATTCTAATCCAACACCACAGGCTTTATTCTGGCTTTCTCCCTTTCCAGTAGTGAGAAACCTGGCTCCCATATTATCTTCAGTGTTTACTTATCTCTTAAGCATTTATTTATTTACTGACTTATTTGCTCGACCCACTCCACACATTCAATCTCCTGACCACATGGACTGTCTTTTAGGGTTTGGCCCACCAAGTGCATTGGCTTATTACCCATACCCCAGTCCCCAAGTACTGTGTTAACAGGATCCCAGGCGCCCACCAAAGGGAAGGTGAGGAGGGGGTGGTGACCAAGGAGAGGAGGGGGAGGGGTAGGGGAGGTCTGGATTTGTATTTTAGTTAGCTACTCTACCTATTGGCATTTTTAGCTGTGATAGTGTGAAAAGTAGTACTGACAGAGTCCTTTGTTTTCATTGCTCATTTCTCTCTCTCTCAAGATGGTTTCACCCAAATATCACTGGTGTGGAGGCAGAAAACCTGCTGTTGACAAGAGGAGTTGATGGCAGTTTTTTGGCGAGGCCCAGTAAAAGTAACCCTGGAGACTTCACACTTTCTGTTAGGTAAGTTGGAAGAGAGAGAGAGAATGCTGAGTGTGTATCTCAGGTAGGAAATGTTGAAAGCACACTTGGTCAACTTGTTACTCCGATTTAGAGTTTGCAGGCCTGCCTGTGGGATCCAAGGCTTGGCCTCCTGAGGGTGGGGGCTTGGGATTCAGCAGCAGAAGGGGAGTGATGGTGGGCATTTCTTCCCTCAGAGACCCCTGCGGCTGAGCTGAAGCAGAGCACAGCGAGTTCTTCCGTCACCCACTGCCTGGTCCTGGCTCCACTCATCCCGAACCTGGCTCCCTGTGTTTTTCCTTTCCCTTCTATTGTTTCCTTAGTGGAAAAAATCCTTTTTAAGAAGAATTTCTTCCGATCACTTTTCTCTTTCAAGAAATAAAACATCACTGAGGAAGTTGTGGTCCCCTTGTTCCCCTGCCCAGTCCTGTCCCCGTCCTTCTTTCCCCAGAGGAAACCGCCACCGAGAGGTTGGCATATATCCTTCCTGAACGTGTTTTTATTCTCGTCCTGCATTTGTACTTGTGTGAACAGTATGAAGCCGGTCTGTGTGTTCTTAGCATTCACATCCATAGCCTTGTAAGTTTACATTATTCCTATAGCTTTCTTTTAAAATGTTATGAGTTCTATGCTGATACATAGAGACATAATTATGAATTTTAATGGCTATATATTCTTCAAATGGTATAAACACCACAGTTTGTCCAGTCCTCATTTGTTGGAGATTGGGTTGTTTTTACTTTGTTTAAATTTTTTTCAACAGTATTGCTAGCATCCTGCTACATGTCTCTGAGCAGGGGTGAGAGAGTTTTTCTAGCAATTGACTTGGTCTTGTATACTTACTCTCTTTACATTCGCTCATTCCAGGAACTGAAACTGAACTGCTTTATAAGTTTGTTTTTATCACTATTATTTTTAAATCAAGAAGTAAGTAAAACATGATCTTGAGCATTTGTTTAGGATCCCTTTGGGACTTGGGAAGTCCCTTTTTGGGGTAGATTCATTTCTTGATGAGCCCCTGTTGTCCGCTTTTACTTCTGTTTTATTTAGTACAGGGGGCGGAGAATAAATATATATATAGTATAGTTTTTTCCAAATTTCCCTCTGTAGTGACTGCACCATTTTGTGCTGCCACAGCCAGGTATGAGGGCACCACTGATTTTTCCCACAGCTTCACTGGTTGAGTGTTGTCAGTTTTTTCATTTTTACTAACCTGATAGGTGAGAAATGGTATGTCAGTGAATGTTAATTTTTATTTCTCTTGTGATGAAGCTGAATATCTTTTAATAAGTTTAGAGGCCTTTTGTATATCTTTTTTGTAAACTGTCTTAGAACCAGTGCTTTTAACAACTCATCACACTGCCATGTTTCACTTTTTTTGTTTCCATATATATCTATATATAAAACGTTATAGATGCTGTTATATATGTGCTTGTGTGTGTATACACGCACATGCATCTATAATATTTATTGTTCTGGTTCTCTGCCAGTGTTTTAACCTTTTGTTATGTGCCATTCTGAAAAATTGATGATTCTCTTTTGTATTTAGTTCGCCAAGGAAAATCCCCCTTTTTAATTTTGAGAAAAAAAATACAGAAAAAATGCAAAAGATATGTACAAATCACCTATGTTGTACTTACCACCAGTTGTTTTTTTCTTCAAAAGAAATATAAGATAAAGCAAAATTTCTCTTCACTCTCTACCCTTGATCCTGTTCTTCCCTTTGTCCCAGAGGCAGCTACTATTTTGAGTTTGGTATATTTCTCTCTTGTTCATTTAAAAAAAGTAAATATATTTGTAATGTACATATAATCTGTAAATAGTAATATAATATTTATAGTAATAAAATATGTATGTGTCATGAATAATATATAATATTATATGTGTGTGTTTTTAAATTTTCATAAGTGGTATATACTAAGCATGTCATTCTGCACTATGCTTCTTGCAATATCAAGTTTTTGAGATCCATTTGTGTTGCTGTCTACTGGTCTAGTCCATACCTGAAATATCTTTGTGTTATGTCATTAAGTAAAAGCTAGAAATAGAAAGCTCATGTGTTAGAATAGAGTCAGGTGTAGCCGGAGGAGAATGATCTGAAGTGCCTTTTTCTTACTCACTGAAAAAAGGTTGTCTCTGAAAAATAGAAGTAGATAGTGTCAATAATATTACAGAATGACTTTTGTAATTTTCCTTAGTTCCCAATTTCCTTTTTTTTTTTTCTTGGTTGAAGTGTGTTTATATTCTCCAGAGGCTTCATCAGTAATGCTACAGGGTCAGACTAAACATAAATGTAACTCAGTAGTTAGCATTTAGGGGTTCCTTACCCCTTGGGTCCACAAAGGTGATATTGGGTGCCCTTGAGGTGTATTAAGTCATTCAGAAAACCCAGTGGAAATCATAGTCAGACTGCTGAGGCTAGCTAAAAAACCAGGTTTTAGCAACTTCTGGCCACTATCTTGTCAATTCAGTGGGATAACATATTAACCATCTCATGCCAGTAACTCAATTATGTGTGGCTTTAAAATGATTTTTAAAGATAACAATTATATACAGTATCGGAAATGTACACTGAGATGAATTTTGGCAGATCTATTTGTTCATGCAACCACTACCTCAGTCAAAATACAGAGAATTTCCATCACCCTAGAAATTACCTTTGGGTCTCTTAATGATCTCCCCCTAAGAGGCAACCATTTTTCTCATTTCTATCCCCATAGACTAGTTTTGCTTATTTTACTATTTCATATATATGAAGTCATAACAATGTATATTCTTTTGTATCTGGCTTCTTTCACTTTATGTTTTTGTGATTATTCTGTGTGAGTCTGGGTAGCTGTACAATTTTATTTCTCTTGGGAAAAATACTTAGTAGTAGATTTATAGGATTATGAGCTTGATGTATATTTTTGAGGGGGATAATATTTTATTTATTAAAAAAATTTTTTTATTCAGGTATTATTGATATACACTCTTATGAAGGTTTTACATGAAAAAGCAATGTGGTTACTACATTTATCCATATTATCAAGTCCCCACCCATACCCCAATGCAGTCACTGTTCTTCAGTGTAGTAAGATGCCACAGATTCACTATTTGCCTTCTCTGTGCTACAGTGTTTTCCCTGTGACCCCTCATACCATGTGTACTAAACATAATACCCCTCCATCCCCTTCTCCCTCCCCTGTGGTAACCGCTAGTCCCTTCTTGGAGTCTGCGAGTCTACTGCTGTTTTGTTCCTTCAGTTTTCAATGTATGTTTGACTTTAATTATATGTGTCTTGATTAATAAATGATGAGAAAAATTGTCACTTAACATATGTAATTTGATAAATCAGGCTTTCAAAGTAGAGGTTGTACAAAGGAAAGAAACTAATAGAGCCCGTTATGTTGAGATGGTTGTGTGGTTGTGTCACTCATGGCATTTGTTACCTGGAAGTGTAAACTTGGGTTTGTTTCAGGGTTTAGGTGGAATCTAATATTGAACATGAGATCCATTTTTACTAGAATGGCTCCTTATCTGTTTATTCCCCCTTTCCAATGGACTGTTCTAGGAGAAATGGAGCAGTCACCCACATCAAGATTCAGAACACTGGTGATTACTATGACTTGTATGGAGGGGAGAAGTTTGCCACTTTGGCTGAGTTGGTCCAGTATTACATGGAACATCATGGGCAATTAAAAGAGAAGAATGGAGATGTCATTGAGCTGAAATATCCTCTGAACTGTGCAGACCCTACCTCTGAAAGGTCAGTGACACTTTAATAATGCAGAGCCTTTGCAGCACTCCCGTGCACAGGTGTTACATGAATGCATTATGGGGGTTTGGCTTGAATCTTCCTCAAGCTGTAATCTTTAAAGTTTATGAAGTAAGAATAATAGGATCAGATTATTCTCAGAATGCCCTTTTCTTGCAAAAGCTTCAATCAGAGATACTTAACACCCATTCTCCAGGGGTCTTAGACTATTCCTGAATAGCACCTGCCATACTTGGTATCTGCCATCATTTTAAGATTATTGAATTTCATTCATCTGATAAACATTGAGCGTTATGAGAGGGAAACATAAGGAGACACCCAAATCATGGCAGTTCTCTGTAGTAGCTCCTGACAGTTATTCAGCTGTGCCACCAACAGATGTCAGTTTAAGCTCAGAAGTAGAAGAGCAGAGACTGCAGCAGGTCAGATTTTTGGTTCTTTAATGTTACATCCACAAATGTGTGAGAATGACACATTTGGAGCTGTATTATTCCAGAGCTTTCCCCCACCCCCTGTGTTGCAACTAAGCTGATGAGTGCTAGGGCTCACCTCATTTCTATTGATTTTGTTGATTTTCTACATTCCCGGTCTCCTTGCTGACTTAGTAGAAATTCAGGGTCTCTTAATTAGGTTTGTATATTTTGTATCTTCACGTAGGTTTCTTCATCTGACACCTTTATGTCAGTGCTATTATATGCTGGTAATTTGTCCACCTACCACTGTAGCTTCAAGTGAAAGGCTGTCAGCCAGCTCTGTGCTGTTTGTTTCTAACTTTTACCCTGTTCAGTTGAGGATGGATGAAAAATAACTCAGAAGTATATTCTTTCAGTGATAAGCCATTAACATTATCTGCCACGATAATGCTTGCTTTCTTACCAAGATCCTGAGGGAAAAAGCCACATTACATTATTAATATGACAATGTGAAGATATTTTCTAAGATTACCTAGAGTAATGTCTCTCAGAGTCTGTCCTTGAAGGCCTATGTTAGGACTCTGGTGTGCTGGTCAAAAATGCAGATTGCTGGGCTCCAGTAAAACTTAGTGTATTGGTCTCTCTGGTTGTGAGTCATGGGAATTCATATTTTTAGTAAAATCTCTCACTCATACTCCAAATCTTACATGTATTAAAGTTTAAAATGATAATCCAGAATGCAGTAGAAAGATACCAACATCAACTTGGAGGCTGCTAAGTATTGGTTGAAAATATTTGGAATACCTGAGTTAACTTGATGATGAAGATCCTTTTTTATGTAGTGTTCTCTTGCCAGCCCAAGGGCAGACATTCAGATGATTCTCTGTCTCTATCATGACTTTGTGTTATAATCTCTTTAAAGAGCTGTGATTAAATGGTTGATCCTTTTAGGGTTGGGCATGGAGAAATGACACATTGCATTTTAAAAGATGGGGGGGATTTAAAAGAAAACATGAAAGATTGAGGACATTTCTCTAGAAATGACTGTGGGCTCATTTAAGAAGTTTAATGATCATTCTTAACGTCTTTGTCATCTTGCCTGCCTGCTTGGGATGCAAATTCTATCTTGTATGCAAGATTGATCAATCTCTTGGAGGAATGTCTTTTTTAATTGTCTTTAGGAGAGCTGGCTATTTGTGGTAGTTGTGCGACAGAATACTGTGAACCCATGGCAGAACTGAATTCATTTTCATTTTTAAAAATTTAGGTGGTTTCATGGACATCTCTCTGGGAAAGAAGCAGAAAAATTATTAACTGAGAAAGGAAAACATGGTAGCTTTCTGGTACGAGAGAGCCAGAGCCACCCTGGAGATTTTGTTCTCTCTGTCCGAACTGGTGATGACAAGGGGGAGAGCAATGATGGCAAGTCTAAAGTGACCCACGTCATGATCCGCTGTCAGGTAAAGCTCCATTTGAACTATGGGTCTGGCAAAACATTATCTTTGGGTGATTTCTCTGCTGGAAGTAGACACAGACATCATCACTTAAAAAGTCAGATTTTCTCTGCTCATTTAGTTATGGGCTTCTACACTTTGGGTACATTGTTTATTATAATTTTTCATCATTTAAAAATTTTATTAAGTTATTTATTTCCAATCTATTGCTGATAGAGCAAATCATGCCTCAGCACTTCACCTACATTGCAGTTTTCAATCTGTTTATGCTTGCTGGAGTCAGTCTCAGTGTCAGTTTGTAAAGTGGGGGCCTCTTTAGGATTGCTACAAGTCTAGTCTGTGGCTGTCTTTGCCTTCATATTACAGAGTCCGTGCATTGGAGCTGGGAGATTTGAACTCAGTATTTCTTGTTTTCAATGTGGTGATGGGACCAAGTAGGTTGATTCTTGGTCAATTATGTCAAACTTTGTTATGACAGTTTCTTAGACTGGTCAATTACTGCTTCAGTTTTTAAATTTTTCTTCATTTAAGATATAATTCATATACCATACAATTCACTTTTTCAAAGTGGACAATGCGGTCGTTTTTAGACTATTTACAAACTATGCATCTACCAACACTATCTAATTCCAGGACTTTATTATCACCCCCAAAAGAAATCCTGTGTCCATTACCTGTCAACTCTCCATTATGTCTCTTCCTCCTACCTCTTAGCAACCACTAATCTACTTCTTTTAAATGGATTTGCCTATTTTGAACATTTCATATAGGTGGGATCATACAATATGTGGCCTTTTCTGTCTGGCTTCTTTCGCTTAGCATGTTTTCAGGGCTTATCCTTATTGTAGCATGTGTCAGTAAACTCTTGTTTTATTATCAAATATTCCATTGTTTGGGTATACCACATTTTGTTTATTGGTTAAAACATTGATAGATGTTTTGACTATTATGAATAATGCTGCTGTGAACATTTGTTGCATGATTTTGTGATATTCTCTATTTGAGAAGACATGCTAATATTTTCTTTAAATTTATACAGTTTTCTTTCATTCTTTGAACATATTTATACTAACTGATTTAAAGTCTTTGGATTTTTCTCAAGGACAGCTTCTGTTGAGGACTTTTCCCCACCCTATGTATGGACATGCTTTCCTTTTCTTCTCATGCCTGATAATTTTTTGTGGGAAACAAGACATTTTAAACAGTATAATCTGGTGACTCTGGAAATCAGAGGCCCTCTCTTCCCAGGATTTGTTGTTGCTCTAGTTGTTGCTCTGTGTGTGTTTAGTGGCTTTCCTGTATTTGTCATGTGCAGCCACTGAAGTCTTTGCTTGATAGGCTTAGCGGTCATTTAATGACTAGACAGAGATTTCCTAAAATGCCTTGAACTATTAAGCTTCTCAGCCTTCCCCAGGGGGCTTCTGTGAGTGTGTGGGGGCACGCCTTCAGTGCTTTGGCAGTTTGCAACTCTGCCGTAGCCTTCACTTTCTGCTTTTGCAGAACCTCAGGGGCAGCTAGAAGTGAAGATTGGGGCCTTCTTGGATAGTTTCTGGACTTCACACAGCTCTGCACATGCACATGGCCTTCTGATAGTCAAAAATATGTTGGAGGTTTTCAGAGCCTAGATTTTACTTTGCTGTTTTCGGTCAGGCTCTTATTTGCTCTAATTGGTATTACCACCTCAGACAGCGTGATATTAAGCAATTGCTGCTGATTGTTTTGGGCAGATCCCCTCAAGACAGGTTGAGTGAACTCTTAAGTCAGGTCAAATAAAATCAAGCTCTGAAAACAGGGCTTTTCCAGAGAGCTGCTCAACAGGCCAAGTCGTGGTAATTCTCTAGGGATAGGTCCCCTGAGAGCTCTCCAAATCCATTCTGTCCCCTTTAGCTGTGCTCGGTTGCTTGTTTCCACAGCTGCTGTGGTATGGGCTGTTGATTTTCAAGGCTACCAAGGAGCTAAGGAGAGGTGGGTGGGAATAGGGCAAGTGCAAACATCACAGTTTCCTCTTCTTTCCAAGATGCAGTCATTTTTCTTGAATAAATGCTCCATGGACAGTTACAAGTTCTTGGTCAATTTTTAGAATTCTGAAAAAGTTGAAGACAATTTTTGCCAGTGTCTTGTTGCTTTTATGGAAGAACAGATTTTCAGAGGTCCTTACTTTGTCATTCTGAAAGTGCTCCTTCTCCCGTCTAGTTTTATTTTTAAATAAAAGATCGTACCCAAATATCTTTGTATATAGTTTCTGGGGTTTTGTATTTTCTGAGTTTAACTGTTTTCCTGTTGTTTCCCTTAATACCCTATTCAGAGCTCCTTGTCAAAAATTTTTCTGACTTCTGTTCATAATTTCCTTTTAAAATTTGCACTAGTAGATAAAAGGAAAGAAAGAGCACTGGGATCCAGTGTTGCCTCCTCAGCCTTGAAGTTTATTGTGTTTCAGAGAGAAAGTTACTTACCTTTTAATCAGCAGCCTATATATAGTCAATTAGCCTTGAGTATAAGTAAATAGTCTGTTTCTCATTTAACTATTTTTAACTTAGAACAAAGACACTTCTTGTGGCCCACTGATTGCTGGTCACTTACTGAGCACCTCATAGTGAGCTCTCTCACACTGGGTCTGCCTCTCCATTTTCACCATCCTTACTCTTTTTACTACTACAGTTGTTTGGTATTTGGGGAAGAATTAGTCTGTGTACTTCAGTTGGGAGAATCAGTAATTTAATATGAAGGTGACATAAGTGTTTTGTCCTGAAAGGAACTGAAATATGATGTTGGTGGAGGAGAACGGTTTGATTCTTTGACAGATCTCGTGGAACATTACAAGAAGAATCCTATGGTAGAAACATTGGGCACAGTGCTACAACTCAAGCAGGTGAGCCTTTTGGAAAGCTAAAACTCCATCTCATTATAGAGTTTTAAAAATCCTAATATAGAATATTCCAATATACAAAGGGAGAACAGTATTGTGAACCTCCACGTATCCATCACCCAGCTGCAATTACAATTCAGTCATCGAATCTTGTTTCATTTATAACTCTGCTCAGTGCCCTCCTGTAGTATTTGGGAACAAATTCCAGTTATTTCATTTCAATGATTATCTCCATATGTATCTCTAAAAGGCCTTACAGAGTTTTTAAAGTGAGTTTTCATTGTAGACCTACCTTTGGTTAGCTTTAGGTGATTGCATTTACCTACTTTGGAATTACTGCTATTTCAAAACTCACTCTTATTTGTAGCAAATTAGATCACATCTCTAAAGACTATTGTGGTCTATTTATAAAAAAAAGTAGGTGTGAATTTATATCAGCAGAGGAAAGTGTGTGTGGAGATTAAAGATAGTTCCTGACAGAACAGAATAGAAAGTGAAACTGTTTTTGAAAACTTACTATGAATTAAACTGTGTCCTGTGAATTTTCTGCCCTTGTCTCCTGAACACCAACATAGAAGTCTTTTCTTTTTTACATTAACACTTTTTTTCTGTAATACTTTCTTCATTTCACACCAACTGCTGAATTTGATTAGCCTCTCAACACAACTCGTATCAATGCTGCTGAAATAGAAAGCCGGGTTCGAGAACTAAGCAAATTGGCTGAGACCACAGATAAAGTCAAGCAAGGCTTTTGGGAAGAATTTGAGGTAAGTTATTAAAACATTTTTTTACATTACTTACTAAGTACTAATTTTAATGGAACAGAAATTGGTCTTATGTTTGGAGTTGCATCTGAAACTCTTGAATCTGTGTCCTTTCTTAATTCAGCCGTTGACTGATATGGAACAAGTTGTCGAGGGGGCTTGTTTGAAATAGAAGGGCATTGTGTTCTGGGAGAAGGATGTTGGCAGTTAGTATGAAATGGATGAGCCAATAGTTCCATTTGGCTCTTTTGGTTTGGACTGCTGGCAAACACTCAGAAAAGCAAAAGTATATAATGCTTTTGGAAGATTTTCAGTTTTGGCTGGGGTCTTCAGAAGGAATTTATACCCTTATTGCAGTGAATAAGTAAAAGAAATAACCTCATGGTGGTTTTAATGTGGGAGTTGAAATTTATAATTTAGGGAAGTTAAATGAACTGATTTCCTGCCTGAAACCAACTTGGGTAGGATAATGACTCCTACGGGAATGTGCTGTGTTCCTGTTGGACTCTGGTATGTCACTTACCAATTCGTATTGTAATCTCATTCTTTTTCTTTGCATAGATTTGACAGGAAACTTTCTCAGAAACAAGGATTGTACCATTTTTACCTTCATAGTTATCCCTAGCATGTAGCACAATGCCTAGCATACAGTAGAAAATCCCTAAATTAGCTTGTTGAATGAGTATTTATATTTAGGTAATGCTTATGTCATTTTATTGTTACCACTCTGCTTATGGCAATGATCGATTATTCCATACTTTTTGTAGGACTTCAGAATTTACAACTATTTGTGGAAAGAATAAATGGCCACATGAAATCCTTTTAACCACAGTATGTCAAATCAACTTGATGAGCTAGACGTTATTTCCATTTTACAAGTGACCCTGAGGCTCAGGCTAAGTAAATTATCTAACCTCTACACCACAAATGTTGATTGAATTGTAACACTGAGAATAGTTACAGAATAGAATAGTCACAGTCTTGCCTCAACATTGCTGAACAGGGACTTGAATGGAGGTTTCTTCTTATATACTGGTTGTTGGGTTAGTCATGGAGGACATGTGTTGAAAGATGGACAGGGTTCTGTCTTTAAGGAGCTTCTAGTAGAGAGAGAAAATACAGTAATGAAAAAACATCATGAAAAAGTGATGATAAACATCATGAGTCTGAATTTTTAAGTCTGAAGTTCACTGTTCTCTTCATTCCATCCTGTTGGCCTAGATAATAAAGGGCAGTGTTTCAACATTCATTTAATTACATTCACTTCATTTCATCCATTTCATTTAGTCCTTGTAAAGCCTCACGGAGTAAGACGGAAAAGTATAGAAATTTTAGAAACCTTACATCAAAATTTGAATGAAAAACCTATTTTTCAAAGCTTTTTATTATGTAAAATTTCAAATATATGCAAAAGCAGAGAGAATAGTCTAATCACAATATACCTATCATCCAGCATTAACAAGTGATATATGCTGGTCTTTTTTAACAACACCCTGCTCATTCCCCTGGCATTAGCTTATCTTGAAACAAATCCCAAATGTCATATTTCATCTGCAGCTATTTCATCTCAGAAGATTATAACCAGGATATCAATATCACAAAGTGTTGCCTCCTCAGCCTTGAAGTTTATTGTGTTTCAGAGAGAAAGTTACTTACCTTTTAATCAGCAGCCTATATATAGTCAATTAGCCTTGAGTATAAGTAAATAGTCTGTTTCTCATTTAACTATTTTTAACTTAGAACAAAGACACTTCTTGTGGCCCACTGATTGCTGGTCACTTACTGAGCACCTCATAGTGAGCTCTCTCACACTGGGTCTGCCTCTCCATTTTCACCATCCTTACTCTTTTTACTACTACAGTTGTTTGGTATTTGGGGAAGAATTAGTCTGTGTACTTCAGTTGGGAGAATCAGTAATTTAATATGAAGGTGACATAAGTGTTTTGTCCTGAAAGGAACTGAAATATGATGTTGGTGGAGGAGAACGGTTTGATTCTTTGACAGATCTCGTGGAACATTACAAGAAGAATCCTATGGTAGAAACATTGGGCACAGTGCTACAACTCAAGCAGGTGAGCCTTTTGGAAAGCTAAAACTCCATCTCATTATAGAGTTTTAAAAATCCTAATATAGAATATTCCAATATACAAAGGGAGAACAGTATTGTGAACCTCCACGTATCCATCACCCAGCTGCAATTACAATTCAGTCATCGAATCTTGTTTCATTTATAACTCTGCTCAGTGCCCTCCTGTAGTATTTGGGAACAAATTCCAGTTATTTCATTTCAATGATTATCTCCATATGTATCTCTAAAAGGCCTTACAGAGTTTTTAAAGTGAGTTTTCATTGTAGACCTACCTTTGGTTAGCTTTAGGTGATTGCATTTACCTACTTTGGAATTACTGCTATTTCAAAACTCACTCTTATTTGTAGCAAATTAGATCACATCTCTAAAGACTATTGTGGTCTATTTATAAAAAAAAGTAGGTGTGAATTTATATCAGCAGAGGAAAGTGTGTGTGGAGATTAAAGATAGTTCCTGACAGAACAGAATAGAAAGTGAAACTGTTTTTGAAAACTTACTATGAATTAAACTGTGTCCTGTGAATTTTCTGCCCTTGTCTCCTGAACACCAACATAGAAGTCTTTTCTTTTTTACATTAACACTTTTTTTCTGTAATACTTTCTTCATTTCACACCAACTGCTGAATTTGATTAGCCTCTCAACACAACTCGTATCAATGCTGCTGAAATAGAAAGCCGGGTTCGAGAACTAAGCAAATTGGCTGAGACCACAGATAAAGTCAAGCAAGGCTTTTGGGAAGAATTTGAGGTAAGTTATTAAAACATTTTTTTACATTACTTACTAAGTACTAATTTTAATGGAACAGAAATTGGTCTTATGTTTGGAGTTGCATCTGAAACTCTTGAATCTGTGTCCTTTCTTAATTCAGCCGTTGACTGATATGGAACAAGTTGTCGAGGGGGCTTGTTTGAAATAGAAGGGCATTGTGTTCTGGGAGAAGGATGTTGGCAGTTAGTATGAAATGGATGAGCCAATAGCTCCATTTGGCTCTTTTGGTTTGGACTGCTGGCAAACACTCAGAAAAGCAAAAGTATATAATGCTTTTGGAAGATTTTCAGTTTTGGCTGGGGTCTTCAGAAGGAATTTATACCCTTATTGCAGTGAATAAGTAAAAGAAATAACCTCATGGTGGTTTTAATGTGGGAGTTGAAATTTATAATTTAGGGAAGTTAAATGAACTGATTTCCTGCCTGAAACCAACTTGGGTAGGATAATGACTCCTACGGGAATGTGCTGTGTTCCTGTTGGACTCTGGTATGTCACTTACCAATTCGTATTGTAATCTCATTCTTTTTCTTTGCATAGATTTGACAGGAAACTTTCTCAGAAACAAGGATTGTACCATTTTTACCTTCATAGTTATCCCTAGCATGTAGCACAATGCCTAGCATACAGTAGAAAATCCCTAAATTAGCTTGTTGAATGAGTATTTATATTTAGGTAATGCTTATGTCATTTTATTGTTACCACTCTGCTTATGGCAATGATCGATTATTGCATACTTTTTGTAGGACTTCAGAATTTACAACTATTTGTGGAAAGAATAAATGGCCACATGAAATCCTTTTAACCACAGTATGTCAAATCAACTTGATGAGCTAGACGTTATTTCCATTTTACAAGTGACCCTGAGGCTCAGGCTAAGTAAATTATCTAACCTCTACACCACAAATGTTGATTGAATTGTAACACTGAGAATAGTTACAGAATAGAATAGTCACAGTCTTGCCTCAACATTGCTGAACAGGGACTTGAATGGAGGTTTCTTCTTATATACTGGTTGTTGGGTTAGTCATGGAGGACATGTGTTGAAAGATGGACAGGGTTCTGTCTTTAAGGAGCTTCTAGTAGAGAGAGAAAATACAGTAATGAAAAAACATCATGAAAAAGTGATGATAAACATCATGAGTCTGAATTTTTAAGTCTGAAGTTCACTGTTCTCTTCATTCCATCCTGTTGGCCTAGATAATAAAGGGCAGTGTTTCAACATTCATTTAATTACATTCACTTCATTTCATCCATTTCATTTAGTCCTTGTAAAGCCTCACGGAGTAAGACGGAAAAGTATAGAAATTTTAGAAACCTTACATCAAAATTTGAATGAAAAACCTATTTTTCAAAGCTTTTTATTATGTAAAATTTCAAATATATGCAAAAGCAGAGAGAATAGTCTAATCACAATATACCTATCATCCAGCATTAACAAGTGATATATGCTGGTCTTTTTTAACAACACCCTGCTCATTCCCCTGGCATTAGCTTATCTTGAAACAAATCCCAAATGTCATATTTCATCTGCAGCTATTTCATCTCAGAAGATTATAACCAGGATATCAATATCACAGCTAAAGCTATTAACAATAATTTGGTAATATTAATCTGTATCAGTCACTTCCTTGTGACTGTTTTCCTGATTGCCGTATACACGCACTTGATTGAGTTAGGAAGTACTTTTTCCTACTTGATTATGAAAAAATCTTTTATTTTTATCTTATACAAATAAAATAGATTTGTATTAAGAACCTCCATATGTCAACTTCTCCAATTACCCCAGCTCTATTTTTTTATTCATAAATACATCAGCATTTATGGAATTCTTAAAAAAATTAACCCAGATACTACTACTACATATAAAAAAATAAAAATTCATCAAATATCTAGTCATTGTTCAGATTATGCTAGTTGTATCATGATTAAAAAAATTTTGTTTGTTGGCTCATTAGTCAAATGAGCTCCACATATAGTTCTTTAAAATCTTAAGTTGTGCTTTGTTCCACCTCCATCCTCACTTCCCTTCCTTCCTACCCCTCTCCCTCTATCTTAGTCCATTCAGGCTGCTACAACAAATAATACAGACCGGGTAGTGTGTAAACACCAGAAATCTATTTCTCACAGTTCTGGAAGTCCAAGATCAGGGAGCTAGCACGGTTAGGTGAGGGATCTCTTCCGCGCTGCACACTTCTCTCTGTGTCCTCACAGGGCTCTCTGGGGTGTCTTTTTTAAATGCACTAATGCCATTCATGAGGCCTCTAACCTCATGACCTAATTACCTCCCAAAGGCCCAACCTCCTAATATCATCACT